TGAGAAATTAGGAATTTAAATGAAACATTCCGGGGATTTTTTTTATTATTTCGATTGGTGTATTTTTTCATTGATGAAAGCTATATAAATATTGTATTTTTGATTTTTTATACATATTGTTTGGAAAATCGTTACAAACAAATGCATTTTTCATTATATAATTTGAAATTGAATTTTTTTAATCATCGACATTGATGCAAAAATGATTTTTAAACGAGAAATCGTTTAAAAATGCATGAGTACGCATTTGTTAATTCACTATTCATTTTTTTCATATTCTTCCTTACGAGTCAGTAGACAGTTGTCCTAAGAAAAACATTGTATTAGATAATTTAGGAAATACTTGCTACATGAATAGCATTTTACAAGTGTTGTTCATGACGAAGAATTTCAAGAACGAGGTTTTAACGATGAACGAGAACGAGCATATTTTCTACTTATTCACCAAACTCAAACAATTGTTCATGCAGTTGCAGTTGTGTGAGAATGTATCATCTTTCCCACCAACCGATTTCCTGGTGTCTTTGAAGTCCACTAGATACTCGTTAGGAAAACAAGAAGATTGCTCCGAATTCTTGGGGTTTTTGTTGGATAGCAGAATCAAAACCCCTGACCACTCTGGATTGAAGGATTCCATACAGTCTATCTCGTCTTGTGTTTTTAGATCTTTTGCTCTGTAGTATCAGTTCAAGAGGTAGGAAAAACATATGTGACTTTGTAGAACTTCATCTAGCGTTTTCTAATATGACTGATAATTAGTCCGTGCAAAACTTATTGTTAATTCATTCAAAAATGGCACTTTCAAGGGTGATGATCAACTGTATTGCCAAACATGCGCCAAACTAACTATGAACTATGACTATGAACTATGACATGACTATGAACGCCAGTCTCTTCTTTCGTCGGATATTGGACCTGATCGACAGTCCCGCCTTGAATGTCCTTCTCTGCCGCAGTTATAACATTTACGTCGTTCTCTTGCCTTGAGTACATTTCCATTCGTCAAATATTCCTTGAAGAGTTTTTCAAGACCTTCCATGACTTGATCTTTTCCTTCGTCTTTCTTTTCATTGATGGTCCTCACTAGAACTTTTCGTTGTTGTCGCGAAGCATTTTTAGCAGATTCAAATTCTAGGACATAAATGATGGCTTCATTCAATTTTTTGTGACGTGTCATTCTCAATGACTGCTGCAGCTCCGAGTTACGAACCCCGTCAATGAATCTATGGACACTAATCCAGTGGGTAAAGTTATCCGGTGCTTCTGGATAGGCGAGTCTTACTAACCTTTCGACTTCAGCTCCAAACTCATGCAAACTTTCTGATGGACCTGGAGTTCTCACCTTCAGTTGAGCTTGGTAGACTTGTTGAAGGTGTTCACAACCATATCTGACCTCCAAAGCTGAAACCACTGCTTCATAATCCTTCTGCTTCTTCACTGGAATATTTTATACAATTCCGGAAGCCTTTCCTCGTAGTGCCAGTATGAGAGCTGTTGTTTCTCCTCATTTCTCCACCCATTATTTTCCGCAGCGGCCTCAAATTGTCTGTGATAAATTGACCATGACGATGCGCCATCAAAAGTTGGAATTTCAATAAAACACTTCTAGAAGGGAAAGATGTCGTTTTCGATTTGCATTTTTCCATAGTAATCCTTTTCGGTTGGTAATTCTTTCCGAAGTTCCCGGAAAATCTCTTCAAACTTTTTGTCGACTCCTTTAAACTTTTTGTCGACTCCTTGAAGTTTTCTTCCAACTCCTTCAAACTTTTTGTCGACTCCTTCCAGTTTCCTTTCGACTTCTTCAAACTCCTCTTCAAATTTCCTTTCAACTCCTTCAAGCTTCTCATCGACTACTTTCTCCAATCCCTCCTTTATTCACTGACACTTTTTTTCGAATTGCTGTACCTACTTCTCCTTTATTCATTTGAGTAGATATAAAATCTTCAAATGAATGAAGGTACATCTGATTGTCTTCTTCCTGCTTTTCTTGAATATCTAGTAGTATTTCACGATCTTCACTTCTGCGTAACTTTTTTCCTTTCTTTTGGGTTCATTTTTGCGTTTTCTATTCTCCGCCAGGCTCGCTTGCAAAGCCTCATACATTTTCTCAAGCTTTTCCATTCCATCGTAATCGACACTCCGTGTTTTCACCATAAAACAGAAAATTTTCAGTCAATTATTCCACTTCCGACACCAAATGTTACGTTTTTACCCGTAGGTTCACCAATAATTGACTACACAGACTAATCAAACTTAAGTTTATTTCCCTTGAAACACAACAAACACTTCCAGTAAAAATTTCAACTATTATTTTAATGTCTATCGCCTTACTGGATCACTTCACGTATCGCACTGTAACGTCCACTTGACTGTCCGAATACGCTTGCAGCCAGCGTACAAATATCGCAATGGAATATCGTAGAATTTTCGCCGAAGTTCATATATTATACAGAATGATCAGTATGTTATATTACAAATTGAAAAATTATATTTGAAATTCATTCAAAGAAGTAAATGGAAGGCAGTTTCATTGAAAGATTATGTCTATGTGACCTCAAAATAACATTTGATCTAGCGAAAGGAGAAGCACACGTCCTCTTTTATGAAAAGGATGAAACGAAATCGCACCTTTGAGATAACCGAGAGGATGTTTCTTCATGCTCCTGTACCAATAAATTATAATACAATACAACTTTTATCCGAATTGTTTTAGGTATATGTATGTACATTTTCATTTCAGGACATGCGCTTGACAATACACCACAAGGACTGATATCGTATATTATGGACAAACTTTCTGTTGGTATGAATAAGAATAACGTTTACTTGAATGATGCAGGTGTGGAAAAATACTTGGACAAAATATTACATATTATAGTCTTTTATTATTGGTTTCCCAAAACAGCGACCACCTCGGCCAGATTTTATAGCGAAAACTTAAGAGTACACGGTACACGATATATTTTTTGTCACAGTACTCGTTTCACATATCACTGACGACTTTTCATTCTCCAACTGCGGAATATTTTCGAGAAATCAAAGATTTATTTATATATGTTGACGATACTAGCATTGTACTATCAGCTGTGACGCGGGAACAAGTAGAAAACAAAGTAAGTTGTAACGCTGTCGTTATTCAAGAAGTGATGCAACGAAAATGATTTTTTTGAAGACAAAACACAAGCACTACAAGCACTTGAGGCGCTCTCCGAGCGGTGCGTGTGCGAAGGTAGCGATTCACATTGAATTCATTTGAAAAAACGTTCTCAGGAAGTTTATCCCACAAAAACACAGTTCTCCAGATGAAAGACTTCTTGAATAGAAAAATTCTAGATGTATTGCGTTGAACCTCAAAACGATGAGCAGCCACAGTCAATCGCGAATTTCTGATATGTACCGCTCTTGGTGGGATGTCAAGTCATTTGAACACTTTCCATGAAAGTATCCATAGAAGGGAGACAAATCTCCACCCTTTCTTCGATGTTCCAGGTTATCAAGGTTGCACGTGATGTTCGCGTCTGGAATCAGGCGGATGGTTTTCTTCTTAATTGTATTCAGCAACTTCAGGGTATGTTTGGACGTAGAGCTCCATACATAAGAACAGTACTCCAAAGAAGATCTGATCTGAGCTCTATAAAGCAACAAAAGTTGCTGAGGTGTGTAAAGTTTTCTGGTTCAGAACAGTGTTCCAAGTTTTTGAGAAGCAGCCTTTGCAATTCCAGCGACACGATTGTGCCACGACATGTTAATGTCCATTTTAACCCTCAAGAAACTTATCGAAGCAGAAAGCGGAATTGTCTGACCTGACATTATTATATCCGCTTCGGAGACATTTATCTCCTTGAAGAAAATCGATGACTGGGTTTTTGTGACATTGAATTGGACCTGGTTACTTTCACTACAGTTCGAAATCACTTCTAGACCCTCATTAAGATATGCAACCTCCTGCTGCCGGTGAAGATGTTTCTCCGAAGATGTGCATCCGCCGCCGATATCCTGGAATCCAAATGGAATGACGAGAAAAGTGTGATGTCGTAAGGAAAGCAATATATTGGATTCTTGGTTTTTTCCAATGAGTCGTTGATATACCTACATTGAAAAGAGGGTTGTGAATCTGGATAAAACTCTCATCGTTAATTTTTTTTATGGTTCTACCAACCTTCTTTTCAAATCTATACCAGTGAAGGAAATGTAATGGTTATATAACTTTACTCACTGAAAGTCTTGGTACGGTTGAAGACTGTAACTTGAATTTCAGAGAACACGTGAGCTATATATGTAAAAAATTTAACAAAACATAATTCTTGATTTCCTCGTTGAAAAACGATATGACATCCAACTTGCTAATCATGTTATATTATACTCATATGTATAATCTGAGTCTTTGATGTTGGAAACTCAATTCAATAGGTGTTATCAATATTTTATTCAAAGATGGTTGACGTTTCTCAACGATGAAAAATGATGTCATGATATTAAATGATATTCATGACTTTACCATCACCAGTTAGCAATGATACTGAAGATTCAAGGCATCAGAACAGAAAGTACTCTTAGTAGATGAATTGAGACGTTTGCGAATAGAATAATTTTGTCAGAAAACATATAGTACCTTAAGATGTTTTTGAATATGTTGAAGAATTGAGGGTTTGAATGAGAACCTTGATTAACACGCGACGTTATTACTACTTCTCGGAACATGAAGGTATACATTCTGATTATTTGAGATTTTCCATTCAGATAATATTCAACCCAGCCCAGGAACGATACGGATAGATATAAGTAACTGAGTTTACGGATCATGTATACGGTGAAATATTGTAGCTTGATTGTGAAGAAAAATCACTGATATGGGTAAGGTTAAGCGGAAGAGATCATTTTTATGTCCCCTGTGGTGCACACAATAGATATCACTATTATTGAGTAGAGAGAACAATCAATATCGATATTATAATTAATAAAGTAAGTGAACTGTGTTTCCTTGGCAAATTTCTTTCGTGGCTGGCTTCATGTGTTGAGTTCAAAAAAATTATTGTTAGAATTGACAATCGGAGATTTTTCCCACATGATGTGGAAGCTGGTTACCTAAAGGATCGATTGTTGATCCGCTGATTTTTCTACTTCCCACTACTAAACACCTAATTTTGTATGCTGATGATACCACTTTGGCGACTGAAACAGAAACGTATGAAGAATTCATTGGAAAAATGAATATACTGGCAAAGAAATTCACCACGTGATGTGGGAGAAATTCTCTAGTGGTAAATTCTGCTTAAACAGTTTGTATGCACTTTTTCACAAGGAATCAAATATCAGGGAATAGCAGAATCCCTTTTGCTAAATCCTCCAAATTTCTAGGTGTTTTTGTGGACAATAATATGGAATGGAACAGCAACAGCAGGAAATAGCAGAATCCCTTTTGCGAAATCCTCCAAATTTCTAGGTGTTTTTGTGGACAATAATATGGAATGGAACAGCAATCTCAATCACATTTGCAAGAAATTGAATAGTAGTTACTTCGCTATATTGCAATTGAAAAATATTTTTATGACGAGTCAGTTGATCAGCATTTACTATGCTATCGTTTATTGCCACATTTCTCACAATATTACTATTTGGGGTGGTGCATTGAGAGCATCCAGGATTTCGTTTCTCAGGAGAGGATTGAACGATTAATGTTCAATCTAGACTATAGAGAAACATGTCGTAATCATTTCAAAGAACATGGAACTCTCACATTCTACTCTATTACATCTATATGCAAAGAGTAATTATCACAACTTTTCTCTCAATTCTGACTATCACGACTACCTAACTCGATCCTTCGAAACTTATTAGGCCTCCTAAACATGGAATAAGCCTGCATGAGAGGAGCCCAATAAACAAAGGTATCCAATTTCTGAATCATCTGCCTGCCTGTATAAGATTGGAAGACAATCTGTTTAAAATCTGTTTTTCCGTTAATCAGAATTCATGAGAAAAAAGTCAGTTATCTCCTGGTTATTAA